AGCTTCTTATCCTTTGCCCATTTTTTCAAATGCTGCATCACCAAAACTTCATCTTGCCCCTGTTCCTTGTTGGGATATTGTCATTCTGTTCGGTTCATCTCCATTTTTTCTGACAATTCTGATTTTCCAGCTTTTTTTGTCTTTAGTATCATCTCTTCCAGGCATGGGGTGGTCCTGTTGATCAGCCAGCAGTACCCGAGCCCGATTCGGTCATTCTATCTTTCTTTCTAGAGCTTTATGCCTGACTCAATGGGTCACTAATACCACCCGGTTCATCTTATAATCGTCTTTCTTTTCCAACTTTTTTGTTCAAATTCATTCATTGTCTCCTTCTTTTTCGCAAAGTTTTAACTGATCTGTAAACCTCAAAGCCTTAACCACTTTGTCGTTTGGCTTGGTCATGTCTGGTCGGACGAAAAGCAAGGTCGTTTGGCCAAAATCGCTCAGCGTGAGAACGAATCTTTCAACATTTTCTCTTTTCTTTTAACAAAATCTCATTTCCTTTTTACATTATTTTCCATTATGTTGATAAGCTTTTGGAATAAGTGATGTTGAACGGACGCACAAGTCTTCATCATCCGTCTCAAACTCATCATAATCGGTCCTTGAAGGGATGACAAGAAGTTTCAGCTAGAAGTGACACTTTTGATTAACACCCCTGTGTTTTGGCAATAAAACATATAAAAGAAACATTTTTTCTTCTTTCTACCTTTTGATAATATCTTGGCGGGAGATCGTGAAGAATGGAACTGCTTGGCCCTTCCTACCCTCCTCTTCTTCATTTTAATGACAGCTGGTTGTTCCAAGTGAAAGTTACAGAAGGTGTCATATCTTACAGATAAGGCTTTACAGCTTCTGTCTGACACGTGTCAGTCACAACTTTTCATACTTTAAAGGCTTTTAACTGGATTTCATGGTCGTTATGTTCAGCAACAGCCCAAAGTTGCCATCTGGCTGTCGTATGGTCGACCTGAATTTTCGATTATTAAGTTTGGATGAGGAAGTAATTAAGAGTGGAGTCAAATCATTTCCAGCCCATCAAGGTTAGCCTATTGTGTGTGTTATCGCTATCCGGTCAGACAAAAAATGGTTGAAAGTTTGTGTTGAGCCGGTTAAGCTGGACAAATTCCGTATTTGGCTTTTGCTCGTGTGTGTGTTTGGTTGTGGTAGATGGAACAGAGGGCGGATGAATGTCAGCTTTTTCTTCACTGTGTTTCTTTGGTTTGTGTCAAGTTGTTCTAGTTGATCATGCATAACCGGCCTTATTCAATACATGATCCGCAGCTTTGAACGTCAAAAGATTTTTGACTGGTTTTTGTGGAATTATGCTCTCCAAGAATAGCAGCACATATTCTCAGTAAACGATTTGTTTCGGATCGCTCATGGCACATGTGTGTTGATGCACCGAGCATTTTACACAAAATGGGAGTGTCGTTCCGGCTCATCCATGACCGTACTGCCATATACAGGACGAAGGCTCTAACTTTCTCAAATTTCCATAGCCATACTCAAAAGATTTGATGACGGTCAGTTACGTGTACAGACCACGAGAAGATGAGAGAGCGCGAAGGAAGATTGCGTGAGGTGGATGTGGCATCTATTGGCTACAAACACAGACACACAAAGGGCCGGCGCTTTTTTTTGACTCAACGCAAACACTGATCTCACTTAGGCCGGATAGATACAAAGAGTAGAAAAAAGCAGAAAGACTCTGTATGAGAGAGGAAATAAAGCTAATACACATAAAGAGCGAAGCTATTGGCATCGCCTGCTGTTAGGGGAATGGGCTTGCACCTGCCACACAAGAGGTTGATGAACTGTCCAATGATTCTTATATTTTGTCAATCGTACATCTGTCTATTCTTCAAATTATTGTCTATAAAGTGAATAGACACCTTGAGTTTTTTAGAAGTCTGTCCTTTATTTGAATGGATCGTATAACTCCTAAGCATTTATTAATCGCCTGCTGACCTTTCTTGGATTCATTCCTTGACTGCGAGTCCAGTTTCTTCTTGTTTGATCTCAAATAGTTCATGTAGACAGATTTTTCTGTTAACTTAGCACATCCAACCAACAACTCAGTAAATTTAAGCTAATGAATTATTCTAATGAAAATTCTGAAAAGCACTCTAACATGTGATACTCCGTTTGCGTATTGCCTTCCCCACAGTACCAACAAAATATTTGAAAATTTGAAATTGGCGACGTTTTTTCCGCCAAACTTTATCTGTTCTTGGGGGGGTCTTTTGCGTTTTTCTCTAACTCTCTTTATTTCTATTCGTGTTCTTTGTCTGGTTGAAATCTTTTGTCGGTCTCTTTAATTTCTCCCTTTCCCTTCCATCATATACTCTTTCCCTCCTCTAGTTGTTGAAACAACGTCTATCTATGGCTCTGACAATCTCTTGTAGTCGTAGCATTCGCAGTGTGAATTTGACTGATGATTGAGAGAGCCTTCGTTTCCCTTTCTGATGGAGGAAAGATTGGGCTGACCACAAGTGCCATTCGACCAGGTTTCGCTCAAGTTTTCATTTTCATTGTTGCGCTCGAAACTTCATCTTTGCCCGGCTAAGTGAGTAAGGCGCTCGCTTTGTTACTGGCATTAACAAATGCCTGTGAAAGTAAATGTAGAAAACATTTTCCATTTGTTGAAGGTGATCTCTTAATCATTTCAACATGAAATGAAATTGACGACTTCACGTTAGATCCACGTATATACGTGAAACTCTCGTGTGTACGTGGGAAACATGCGTATATCATTTTCTATGCGAAAAGGCCAAGAGTCGGTTGTGTTCCTCCCGCTTCATTTTTGACTTTATTGTGTTCGCATCATTACTACGTCTCATCTTTTTTTTCTCTTCTTTCTCAGCAATTTGTAGTTAATAAGAATCTTTTGCTACCAGATTAAGCTTCATAATATCCAATTTCCGTCCTTGAAAAAACATTTATTCCTACAAAAGTTTATTGTATTATTTATATTGGTTCCTTTCACCTGCTGCAAATATTTTCTTTTGAGTTTGAATGATTTTGGCTAGTTTTCGAAGCAGAATTTGACTGTTACCTTGGCGTTCTACCTCTACCCACTATTTGTTTGTTGTTTACGAATGCGTTGTCTCTTTCTTTTATGCTCTCCTTTTCATTTTTCTTCTTTTCACACACTTTGCCACTTTTTCTCTCTCATACGACTCCTTATCCAATACTTCGCTAGTCGACCAGCCCACAGACCATCGGTCGAGCTTTCTCTCATTTGCCGTGCCCCCCTCCCTTCCCCGAGCCTCCCTTATTCTCTCTTCAGGTCTGATCGTCACTAGATGGCACGGCAGCTTGGCCATACGTTCATTCTTTTTTCACCACTTTTTTTTTCAATTCTAACCCTCATTGGCAGAACAGACACAAGATTGACTTGTTCAGCTGAACTTCATCTTTGCTCTCGCAACTCATGTGCTAAACTAAGAAGTTGTCAAAGAGTTTCAGTTCTTTAATCAACTGATTGATCTCCGAAAAATTCTCTGCAGGTTTTCGTATTAGCTGTATTTCGTAGGCGTTATGTCCAAAATGAGATGAGCTCCTCAGACATAGTTTACACAAATTAAGATTTGTATAATCTTTGTTTGCTAAAGTAGTGCTTGGCAAAATTATAACAGTTTTATTAGAATGCCTCGGATTAGTTTTATGACTGAACATCAACATAAATCTTTGAAGTAGTTTGGGTCTTCGCAATTTCTTACGGCCTTCAATATTTTTTTCTGAGAAAAACCTGAATGGTACCATCTGTTTAGTTTTCGTTTTCTAAGAGTGAGAAGACGTCAAAAATCGACTTCTCAAGCCTAATATCTTGACCATGGGGCTCCCCGTCTACGCGTTTTTAAAGAGGCAAGTGTCTATGGGTTAAGTGATATTGCTTTTCTCTGCTCTTTGAGTTTCTTCGGACGAATGGTTTCAAGATAGAAACATGATCAGCTGATTTCTCATGTGAACTGAGAGAGAGAGAGGCCGAGATGAGAGATGAGAAATCGTTAAAGTTCATTTTTTTGCAATGAACACGGCTAACGAAGTTTTATTGATAATCATGCCTCATATGGACAAAAGACTAGAGCGATACTGAATAACTGAAATGACTTTCATACACATAAACACAAAATATCCAGCGGTATGACTTTTGTGTATTCGCCTCTCAATTATGCTATTAATAGTCGAACGAACATAAATTTGGTAGTTCAAGGCTCGTTCCGCATCTGTCTATGCTCCATAATTCCGTTTTTGGAAATAGCATATTGTCCATGGAGGTCAGAACAATTCATTCATTACACGTCGACGTTGACTGTATTTTCGGCTATGATTGAAGAAAATGACGAGTCCAGTCATATTTTTCTACTCATTCACTCACGTTTAATAATATTTTAGTTCTTTGTTGCTAGAAAGCTGTTTCGCCTCTTTTTTTTTTGGATTCTCTCTCGTGAGATTGGATGATGATAGCGTAGTACTAAATCTGGCAATCTGCCGGCAAGGGTCTTTACCCATTTGGCTGTTTCATGACGAAGAGTTGTTCTTCGCCTCAATCCCAACATCAGCTTGCAATTTCTTTTGATTTTTTTGTTTTCCATGCTAACTATCAATTTTCCTGAAGTTTTCATAGTTTTATTCATGTTTCAACCTATTTCCTCTTTGTTCTCCGCCTATGATGATCTGTTTAGTCGTGCTCCTGCTGTTCTCAGATTTTATCGGGTGGAGCTATTTCGCAACTAATTTCTCTTTCGAACAGTTTCGTTTCAATCTCCAGTTATTCTTTGAATTGTCAACTTTTCAGTTTCGTTTTTTTACGCTTATATTCTTTTTCTGCTACTATTGATATCTGTCTGCATCATCACAATTTCAGATCTCGCAGGGGCTGGTCCCACAACATTCTACTATCCAGCTTCAATCTAACTTTGGTACAGAGTACTCGGACTGAAAGACTCAAATTTACCTTGGAGGGAGAGACAAATTTCTAACGCCCTAACACAATGAGTACTCTCTCTCAACAGCAATCACCTGCTACAACGCAACCATGCTTATCCGTTTTTTCTTCACGAACAAGTGAAGAAGGATTTCACTCAGGATCGTCCCAAGATGAAACTTCCTCGAACAATGATGTTGACCGATTGGCCTTTGAACTTAATAATTTCGGCGTATCCCAGAAAAGTGAGTTATACTTCTATCTTACAATTAGTCGCAGCCAGTTGGGATGTTCTCTCAATTATCTTTCGCATGAAGATTATAGTAGGAAGCTTGTTTGGAATTCAGGCCAAAATCATTTAACTATCAGTCGCGTTCAGCCCAATTATGCAGCTCATTTCGTAGATTAAAAAAAGCCTTTTTCATCAACTAATTATGTTATTCATTTTTTAATTGATAACTATTTTCGTATATGGGCATGACATGGTTAGGCAGAAATTAAAGATCATCGCTTCTGCTAGCGCTTGCCGCATACGAATAAAATGGTGTAGCTGGCCGAATCCGTATGAGTCAACGCGTTCCTCCTATAGAGATGGTTTCGTAATTTGTCTTTGGTAGATAAATAGCCATTCTGACATAATTGGTCTTAGACTCCAGCTATTTATGAAATCGTGACTTCTCATTTCCAACCTTGGGAAGCATTTTAATCGAAAAATTGAATGACCAACTTGTCAGGTTCATGCCATATCCTTGAGGTGAGGTGTAATCGCGCTAATCGGCTCAGAAAGCGTCAAGTTTGTCATCAAAACCCATCTCGTGCTCTGTTTGCTTATTACCTAGTTTTTGATTGAAAGATCTCAGCTCATCTAGTTTCTTTGAAAGCCATTAAACATCGCATCATTTCCCTACTGTTCATCTACAATGAACCAAAGTTGACTTACGTAGCTAATCCTATTTAGAATAGTTTACAATTCATCTCTTCTTCTTCTGCTTCTGTCTTAGGCTTTCGGCTATATGTAGTGGTCAAAGTGGCTAGTACGCGGAACCAACAACTGGTATCATTTCGTTGGCCACTTAATCGACTCCTAGTCGTTTTTCTTTTCCTTTGAAGAAATAGTCCCGTCATCAAGTCTTTAAATCCACTTGTCAAGCTTGTGAATCATCTTGTTTCGTCAAGTTCTGACTATCAATTCTTACGACCATTGCATAATACTTCATCTTAACAACCATTTAAGTAAGACTGAGAGTCTGAATCTGATGGTTGTACTACATGCCGATGAACTGATGACATTTTATTTGAGCAATCAAATGAAAATGCTTGGTCATATAACTTTCTCTCTTTTTTTCTATCTGTCCTTTCCTCCGAACAGGGGCATTTCTTCGATCATCTGTTATTCACAACATGTGTAAGTGTTCCGCATCGGTTTATCATTAATCTTCTGCTTACGTTCGTGAGAAACTGCCTTAGTCTTTTTTCTGTTTCATCACCGTGCTTAATATCTTTTCGGTCATGAACGTAAGTGCACCTACAATGATAGTGCGCGTTGAGACCAATTTCAAAATTTCAAATAAATCTTTGATTTCGCAATATTCTAATTTAATTGGCGCTGAAATGAGCGTTACTTGTTGCCACGTATATGAGTTTTGAAAACATCACGGCTGCACGTGAATTCACGTGGAAAACTCGTAGCGTCACTTACGTGGTTATCTTATCGCGATGAATTGTGAGAGGCGGTTGTTCGATTTTCCGCTCTTCAGCTCTTTAATGAATTGATTAATTGAGACTCGGAAAGTGAGTTTGAATATAAGTTTTTGAGGCTCATTAATCTGAAATTGTAATAAGTAAGAAGTACTCTTCCAAATGTTATCGATCACGTTTTCAATGTAAGCTTATTACCTTGTTTGCAGGACTCGCATACGGACAACAAAAGTGCAACTCTGACAGTGGAGCTTCCAGTGCTGAGCTCGAACAGAACACGTATGTTTCTTTTATTTATCGGGCTAAATACACCAAGAAAAGGCATGGGATAAGTCAGTTTATCGGACTCAAATCTTGTAGTAGTAATAACCTTTATCACTTCATTTCCATGACCTCACTCGTTATTTCCATCACCTCACCGGATTTGCTGAATGTCCTGCTAATCCTCTTATTTGGAAAGACGTTAACGACCTTGTCGAAAGATATCTGGTCGTGTGTCTCACTAGTATTATTGGTTTATACTGATGATCCTAACGCCAGTCAGTCATCTTAATCAAACCAATCTTGAGTCTTTCTCAATTATCTTATTTTTTTACAACGGTAATCCGTGAAATAGTTTGACCTCCAGCTGGCTTTGAGAATAGGGAGGACGACTTGTTTCTGGTGCACTTGACATTGGCAGCATACTTAGTTGGAATTTACAAAATGCCTACTTTCGATGGTACTAAGCTTTCGAATTTACTCTTCTCTCATTGAACATCTGCTCATTCGTAGTTGATGTTGTTGGGCCACTTCATTTTCTAACGTTATTGTGAATTATATTCTTTAAAGACTTTGGTCATACGTCGACTTCCCAACACATTTCTCTCGACAGGCTCATGACAGAACATCTATGAAATTCTATATAAGGCTCGCCTGGTAACATCTGCTAACTTACATCATTCAAGCATTTTTTTGTTTTTTCTCTTGCATCATCATCTCGCCATCGTTGCTTTAGATTAGTTCAATGTGAATGGCGCATACATTCAACGGACAATAAGTCCTCGTTTCTTTTTACAATTTATTCGTTGGTACAACACTTGCTCTTTGTTTGAGATTTCCCTAACGCTTCTGTTCATTAACTTTCCCCCCCTCTAATGGCTCTGGCTAGAGGCCTTGGCCTTTGATAGCTTCGAGATTGAGCGCTTGAGCCCGATTACATAGATCATTCACGTCAACCTGTCTACCTGGCGCAATATGGCATATGGTCAAGTAAAAGCCTGGCCTCTGGCCTGATGTGAAGCTTTTTTTTTGGTTACTTCCGTTCCTGACCAACTTCTTTCAATCACCAAGATGATTGGCGAAACATTGATTCCACTGCCTGTGCCTTGTTTGATAATGCTATTGTTTCTTGGGTATATCCCATCTAGTCAACCTTTTTTCATTGTTTGATTACTAAAGCTGTACAGGTCTGTTTTCTTCTACGATGGTCATGGGCAGATGTAACTTCTGCTCTTTCAATGCCTGTATTTTCTTATATCTTCTTTTCCTCCTTCGCATATAGATACACTCTCTCCTTCTCTTTTTCTTTGAGTCTCCTTATTTCTTTCTTTCTTAACTATTCTCTGATGTCTTTGTTTACCATACCGAACAGATGGTCTTTGTTCTTTTTGTGTATGTCGTTCCTCATATCCTCTATCTGCTGTCTCATTCAGCCCTACTTCCTACTGCTCGCCTTTAAAGTGAATTTTCATCTCTCATCTTACCTGTACACATGCAGCATTTCCTTGTTTTCACTCTGTAATTTGTCGAACACGACAACGTTAATCTCCTGTTGAGCTGCCGACAGAACCGAATGGCTCGGCTTATTTTCCTAATGGACTCCATCTTATTATTGTTTCTCAACAATTTTTTTTATTTATCAAGTTTCGGCTGAGCTTTTCACCGAATATAGTCGGCTGTAGATTCGACGCACTATTGTTCACGAATTTGCGCCCCATTCATATGGTTCTATGTAGTTTACAGTGTTTTTCTTCAATGATTAATATCTGTTTGTTCTATGTTCTATTCATTCAAAAGACAATGTTCACCTAAGCAGAATTGCAGTATTTCTCTGAGTCACTTGTAGCTTCTCAGTGAAATCTCAATACATTTGTCCAGCAGTTCTCCTATTCTTTGTATGCGTGTGATTTGGAAGTGTCGATCCTTGTTTTGCAACGGTCTCTTGTTAACACTTTGAAAATTATGCGAAATGGTGCTGAACTGACCAACCATCTCTATCTAACATCTAATTCGGTTCATCTCAATTTGTCCAAGGCTTTGCCGGCTGGCCAGCAGCTGTTAAAGACAGTGAAGCCAGATGACGATGCCATATTTGGGGGAGGAAGATAGAAAGAGATATAAGGCCGAGAGTGTACTGCGAAGAACATGCGTTTGCACGATATATATCTAAATGTATACATACATGACGTAGAAGATAGAGAAATAGATGAATTCGTATGGCCAGTGAGTGCAACAGATTGAGGCGAGAGGGCGGGATGTCTTTCTCAGTCAGTTAATCTGCTCGGAACTACCAATTTAGTTGACTGTGGAGAAAATATTAAGCCTAATAATTTACATGTTGTATAATCCTCTTTTTAATTAGCTTTTGTTTTGTGCGCAAGTGTGTATTGTGAGGAACGACCTCTAGATCACTCCAATTATCTCAAGCCTCTTACATTTCTTCAGTGTTTCGCTAAACATCCTAGGAGTTTCGTTTTTCTTTCTGCATCTTATTCAGCTAAGAGAAATGTTACGTGAATGCATTGAGCATTCGATTTACCATCTATCTATTTATTTATCTCTAATTTCATTTTATCTGACAATTCATCGTTTGTCATTATGCAGCTAATTAACAAATGCTTCACACAGACGTGAGAAAGCTTATTTCCAGTAGACCCATATCTCGAACACTTTGTTTTGATCCAACTCTTACCTATTAGATTTTCTAACGGAGTAACAGTGGCTTAACTTCACCTGCACTTGTTTTGATTAACTTTGCTGTGTTGAGTTCAGCTACTGGTTTGTTTTAATCAAAGGAACAACCTTTGGAAAGCTTTTTTCGATTAAGTCGTCAAGAGTTTCATTTCACAACCAAGCTCTAGACTGGAGAGTTTAGAGAGAGGCTTTATCTATGTATGAACTTTTAGTTCTTTTGTTCATTTTTGCTGATGCTATTTCACAAGACTTATGAAACCTATTGCTAGTCTTTTGTGTGGAATGTGACTGACATTTCCTGCTTGCTCATACATATTGCTGGTAAGAAATATTCTTTGAATAGGCTTTTGTGTAGAGGTAATTTTGTATTGGAACATTAATAATTAGGAGCTGGTCAAAAATAACGAAAGCTTGTGTCTGTACCCGTCGCATAGCCATGTAAATATAGTTTTTGTTCTTTTAAATCTCCTCTGTCATTTCCGTCGGTTCTTAAGCAATGTAAGCTTGTAGAATAACCGAGAACAGAGACTGCTGCCATGTTAAAAGTTCATGTAATAAGCTAAAGGAACAAATCATAGAAATGCCTTGCTTATATTGAAGATAGCCTATTATATATCTTCTCATTTTACGTTTATCTGATACCAGCGGTTTACCGCTAAGGGAGAGTTGGTTTGAATTTGAGTGGACTCGAACTAATGCTAAAATTTTGTTGCTAGCTATTGCTCTGGCAGCAAAGATTTAACATTCATCTCTTGGGAATACAGTTCTAATCGGGTGTGTTAAAAATAGGAGTTGAATCTGCTTGAAACTTCTGCTCTAGTTTCATATCAAACAGGAATACTTTCGGGCATCCTAGATATCACGAACTTGCATCACTATTTGTGATTCTGAGATGATAGACGCATATTTTGATATAGCATTTGCATTGAAGTAAACAAGTCAATGCTTAGTTTGAGCAACGAACGATTCTTCCGATACTCACTTTCAAAACTGCCGCTAACGGACCTTTGCTCTTCTGTTTCTCTGTCTCTGTCGTTGAAGCCTTCTTCGTCTTGTTGCTGGGCTTGGTGCTTGGTCTACATGCCGTTTTGCTTGTTTGTGTGGGTCTTATAGCAGACTGGCCCAAGCAGTGCGGACACGGTGAGAAAAAACGATCGAACGAGATACTTACAATGCTTTTCCCTTTTTTGTATTGTATTCGATCCTGAACCATGTATCATTCATGGTTATCTCCCTATGTTGATTATTTTCACTAACTTTGAATTTATCAGTAGTGTTTTCTAGTAGCTTGAATTTTGTATTTGGAAAATTCAATATCTGCTTCTTTCAAATTAATGTTATTCTTAACGTTGAAATATGACTGGAGCATTGTTTTGCTAGACTAGCAAATACAAGAGCAAAAATCATTTTTTTCCGTTCGAAATGACGTCTTCGTACCAAGTTTGGTTTATCTCATTTTGAAGAAGTCTTCAGCGGTAAAAGTCACAAGGCATCTAGTATGCCGATGAATTGTGCTTTCAGTGACTTTTTGATGGCTTTGTAGTAGAGCAATTCGTTGTCACATTAGTTTCAAGTGGCAAGTAGCATTATAGCTCACTGCTTTTTGAAATTGCTTAAATTTTGCTCGAATTTTCGAATATTACAATGAAATAGCCAAAGACTATTATTAGCACAAGTCTGTTTCAAAAAGGTCTTACCACTACGCTATCTGTGTTCATCTTCATGAGAAGAATACATAAACATGAATATCACTTTACCATCTGTTTGAAAAAGGTTCAATTCTCTAATTTCTCCCATAGTTCCTCCACTATATTCGAGAATCGTTGGTACTTCCGAGTTTTGTAGACTTATCTTCTTGCCTTTGTAATACTCTCCTACGATGTTGTTCCTTGGCCGAGCATAGGCATAAGAACTTGCATTTTGCCAACTATCGAAATGTCTGCATGTTTCTAAGCTTTTAACTCTTTATGGATTTCTTCATATCAATATTGCGAAACATCGGAATAGTGAGACGTAACTTGTGTTTAAGTCGTTATTACCTTCTGATTCTAAAGTTTTATGCCATTTCATCATATTCTTCAGTAGCCAATTTCAGTTTAGCTTATATCATTTCCTCATCGTTGAGCCATCTGTTTTTCTTTATTTGATATTATGACGTTGTGGAAAATCGTTTGTTCATATTGACTCCATGCATTTCATCATATCTTCTTCTTCTTCTAAATATGAACTGTTTCATTAGGATACAGAATCCCTGATGATGTTCATAAATTTTGACAATAACACATGGAATATGTCATGACCTCCGGTTCTTTTCTTCAGCTTTTTTTGTGATCCTTAAGGGAATTTATTTCGTGTTGAATCACACTCTTGTTCGCTTTGTGTATTAATCCCAAGTTATATTGCCATTGTTTTATGACAAGATGTGCTTAAAAATTTCTCTGAGCTTGCCGCCTCCTACTGGGTGATGGTTTTACTCGACCTCATTCATACTCTCATGTTGTGGTTCTTATCATTTTTTTTTCAAATATCGAATAAGTGTCGAGTTGATGTTCGTTTTCATTATTGATAATTGTTGACTTAAGATCTATAATTTCATGCGAGAATTCGGAGGAATGATTATAGATGTAGTCATCAAACTTCTAACTTATAAGCCCTCGTTTCTTTTTTTAAACGTCAATCATATGGCTTCATACTAATTTCGAGCGCATGCGAGTTGTGTTACTTTTCTAGTTTCTGGTGGCTTGAAAAATGAGCAACCAACGTAGGAAGCTGATCGTTTCGTCTCTGATATTATATTCATTCGAAGCCCTTTTTTGAGCTTTTTCATCTCGAAAAATGCAAAAGAAACTTTCTCCGATTATGACTTTTTGAAAGTTGATTTGATATGCTCAATTTTCTGAATACACAAGCGATCTCTTCTATATCTGGATATATTTGCAGAATTTCTTAATCCGTTAGAAAAATCCAATTCATCATCTTCTTTTCTATTCTATTTCATCCTCCATTCAATTCTATTCCTTATTCGGACCCTTTGGATGCTATCATGCTTTTTTCTACCAGTAGCCCTTCTAGCTTGTGCATCATCGGTTATGTAGGAATAGCTACCAAATATGGATTAGCCTTCTGAGTGAATAGCCCTCGTTTGGAATGAGAGAGTAGGATAGGAAGAAGTTGTGAATTGATATACTTCTCAGTCTTAGCCTAACGTTTTCTTTTCTTAACTGTCTTGCCTTTTTCTAAAACCATAAATGGGATAGTTACAGAAAATATTTTCATTCATGACCTCAGGGAGAGGGCATACACTAGTTCACTCTCACGGCTATGAAGCAGTATTACCTGTTCGAACAAATTCAAATTGAGTCTTAATGAGCCAATAAAGGCAAAATAGACATTTAGTTTTGAACAGCCTAACGTTGCTGGTACCAGCTGCCAATAAGCTTCAACTCTTAGACTTTTATCTTGGACTCATGCTTTTTTCAGTTAATCGTAGTACTAATCGTCCATACCTCTGTTCCTTGTACCTCCTCCCTCCATCAACTCATCCATTTTTCATCTCATATTATTCTGTTATGACCAAAAGTCATGTCTTGTATATATCATTTTACTCTATCCCTTTTTCTACCTAAGTGAAATCATCATGATCGAGAGAAAAAAAATGAGCTAACGGATGAAAATATTATAGTGCTGGTGGGATCTTGAAGAGTGTCATAAAGCTTGTGTCTTTTATTTTAATAGGGCTCCTAATGTGCTTAGGTGTTGACCCTCTCATAGTTCATGGGTGAACCTTTCGCAGCAGGAGAACAAGGCGAAGAGGGAGGAGACAATTCAGCTCGCGACCCCGATTCACGCGCGCCTTGGCAAAGCTCCACCTCTTTAGTTCATTTGCATAGAGACATGGCTGCAGCTGCTGTCTTGCTATTATTGGCCATCTACTATTTTCCGGGCCAGATTTTTTTGAAATTTTTGGACGTGTTATTTTTTTTGATAATGCTTAAGTCAAGTTAGGCGCTGGAGATGTATCGATTATGTGTGAGTGGTGGCTGGCATGGGCCTCAGCCGTCGTCCTGCCTCTCGCTCGTCTCCGCCTTCTGCTGGCTTGCTGGCCAGCAGCAAACCTTCTACAGAGTGGTCGGCAGTCTTCAAGACGTTTCCTGGCCATTAAAATGTTCTCTCTTCTTCATGATGTTTTCTAATTTTATGCATAATGTTTGCCATTAGCTGTCCTATCATTTTTCAACAAGATTGTTATCCTTTCTGCTTTACAGTTTCAGAGCGCTTTGTTTTCCAAAGATTTAGCGTTGATTGCACGAATTCATATTACATGAAGTGTTTTCATATAATCTACTCTTTTTTGTGTTACCGTACTTGTACAGTCTTTCCACAATTTACCCTCCACTGTGATTGTTGTTTTTGTCTTCCTTCTTCGAGCCCATTTATACTTTTCGCCGCTCAGTCTCACTTACACTTACGTTCCTTCTTCCAATAACTTAACGCGATCTTTTCGCGCTTTTTTACTTCTCTCTGTTTGGGTCTCGTGTTTTCCATACCGTGCTTTCTTAGTGAAGACGACAATCTTTTATCCACGGTGTTCTGGCACTAGACGTGGGCAAACAAGTCAAAAATCGATACAAGTCAAGTTCGGATTGACTTGAGAATTAAAATATCAAATGAATGTATTTTTTGTTTCCGCTCATTCCAAAATTATTAACTAAATGTCCTCCTCATCGCCGCGAAAAACTCATGAGAAAATTAATCTGAATGTTCTGAGGCGACTGAAGACTCATCACCACTTGATTCATCCAAGGATGAGCATATAGGGTGGTGCCGTTGTCTAAGCGAATTTCATGTTAGCCTTTTGCACACTTTTTGTTTTCATTAATCGGAGTGACTGAGTTTTCCACTTTTTTTGGTTATCAGCATTGTAAAGGTTGGCTCTGGTTCATTGGTTTGGTTCCCAGGTGGCTGTTGTATAGAATCGCAATGAAAGAGAAAAGTCTGTCTTGGTCTCGAAATACTGGCAGCAAGAATGACTACAAACTTTTTCGGCGGTTGGAACCAACGGTCGTATATGAACATGCTTGTAATACCCACTACAGCGTTAGTTTGCATTCACACGACTGTCAGGAAGTGGGCGAATGTCTCTATATCTTTCTTTTTCGGAATTCAATAGCTATCATGAGCAGATTATCTTGAAGTCTCTCGATGTCTATTTTAAAGCATGTTCTAACTTCAAGCATCTTCTTAGTTCGGCCGAAACTTGAACTTTCCCGACTTCTGTTCATCATAAGTCTTGACGTTCTATTATCGCCATGAATGCACATATTTACTTCTAAATTACGTATTTTTTTTTCCTGGTGCGCAAACGTCTCGATACGTATACTTTCACCGCATAAATGTCTTTTCACCTACACCCTCCCCCCGCCCAGCATTTCGAGTAACTGCGCGCCCTCTGCGATAGATCAATATATTTGAACTGGCGCCATTCGTGAATTTTATGTTCTTCTTTACTTTTCTTGGTTAATGATTCAAAATTAAGTTATTTTGGTTAAAATATTCAATTCCAATCTTTGTTTTGTTAATGTTTTGTGTTATTACCCTTGAAAGGTCATGTAGTTCTTTCGCTTTTTCATTTTTCACTCTTATCACTCTGGTTACATATGTTTTCGTTATTATTTAAAAAATCATCAGTTCTTATTTCAGAATGAAGGAGGAATCAGCGGGTCGTGACGCTTCTTCTACAACAGCGCCCACTGCCGCTAAACCCAAAATGCCTGGGTCTTGGTACTATGAAGAAGGCATGTTCCGAGGCGAAGACTCATCTTCACCTTCCAGTGAGGCTGATGGTCAGTTTTACTGTTTTCTTAGTGTTGAACAAACATCTGGCTGTTTAAATATAAATGCTTGTTGAGACATTAAGCTTGACGTTTCAAGATTAATTGCTCAAGAAAATTAATTGGCAATAGTTAATAAGAAACTGAAATTGGTTCCAATAAGTATATTATTTAAACCTTTCAATCAAAGATTTTCTCTGGACACGATTACTCTCACTTTCTGAATTCATTCGTCTCTCTTCTCATTTTCATCGTTTCTGTAGTTACTCAGTTAATCTGTATCTTTTCAGAGTTATATTTAGCACAGCTATTATGTGCCGCCCGCAATATCTCAGAAAATGTGGAAGTGCCAAGTAGTGAACATGTAGCAGAGATTGTTGGTAGACAAGGTTAGTTTCTCTCATGTTACTTTCTTCGTATTATTCCTGCAAAGTATGTGTATTCCTTTGATCAATTATATTTGACCCTTTTTCTACCGGTATCTGGGTACTGTATGGCATATGGAATATAATTGACTAGTAATTTGTCCACGGGAAGTAACCTCGTCGTGGTTCGATGAGCATCAGCTACTTTTGCTGCGTGTTGAACTTCGTCCTATTTAGGACAATCACACAGTTTCTATTTCGTGAACGTACATGTCCACAAAATGTCAAGTGAAGGAGATTTAAAAATGTCTGTAAATTATTCCTACCATCCGCTGCTTGTGCTTCATTTGTCTTGCAAGTAGAGACACAAAATTTCGTTGCAGTTTCTTATTATAGTTTGAGCTTTCTGTTCCGATCACATTTGGAGCATTCATTCGGAATTAATCTTAGAAAATTACGTTTTGATGTTTTGAACTAATTCCTCTTCGAAATCACGACCGCTTCAACTACCAAGCTGTCTCTACAGTTGTGAGCTGGTTGGTCAGATTATTGATTAATACTAGAAAAAACATGAATAAATGTATGGCTTGGAGTAACGCGAAGATCTTGGTCTCTGCCCTCCGTCCTCATGTTGTCTACTCTCTAGTTAGTCTATGGTCTGAAGATGGAGAATTTATTTTATGTAGTATTCCTTTGGTGAATATCATCAAAGAGCTTTGATCATGTAATTGAAAATATTCCAAATGTTATATTTTCGTTTTTTATAGATTTAGCTCTTGAAAAAACGCGTGTGACTTCAGCGCGATCATAGATTAGCGGAATTAGCGATGGCACGCTTACTTAGAATGCCATGCTAGTTTCTATGTACATTTTAGGTAGTATTGATGGGCGAAGAAAATTGTGTTTACAATCAAGTGTAATTTTTCTCAAATTAGATATTGTGCATAATTGATGAGTGAAGGCAGCATAAGCATGAGCGTATTCATCAACGTCATCTGCCAAAGCAGCAGCATCTTGGGTTGGGACTACCCAGCATGACATAGAAGAAGATTACATCTTCTTAGCAGCCTGAGATGGGGTCACAGTAATTAGCATGTCATGAGCCATTGTTGAATAGCTAATTATTCTTTGTTGAAGATCATGAAAAAACAGATTCAAACTGTCGTCCTCCTCATTTCGTATTCTATCGAGAACAAAAGAAGCCAAAGATAGATAGGCATTGATTAATTAGAATGTTTGACAAACATTCCGCATTGTTTTGAATATTATGCACTCAATGCTGCTGACCATATACAAATGTCAATTGTTTCTCGGGTAATTATACCATCTCTCTTTTATATTTCATATGATAGCATGACATTCGGGAAGCGGTTCTGTAGTGCCGATTGATTTTCGATGAGGATATATATTCATATGGGTATTGGCAGATTTATGTGTCGGCCGTGAAGTGAGGTTTACACGCAACTGTGAATGGATTTAAATTCTGGTTTTTGAAGACTGAATGTCTCCTATAAACGATGCGAAATTTCATTTCATGGTGACCAACTGAATGCCAGTCTGTTTCGAATATTTCATTCTACGTGCCATTGCTGTTAGTCTGTTGGGAACGCTTATGATGCTCTCTGTGTCTTTGCTCTATCCTTCTCTTCATTAGCTCCTCTAATTTACGCTTCACCGAAGAGATCATTCTAATTTGAAATAGTCAGATGTTCAGTTCATGATGAGAAGAAGCTAATATTGAGTCGTTAGCAGTGGCATGCTTCATTTGTTACATAACCGTCAAGTGGTAGCCTTAGTTTCAAACAGAATTTTGAAAACCTTGATGCCTTTTTTGACTTTCTGTTACTATTACTTATCACACCGATCACAGTGAATCTGTCGGCGAGCAGCTGAACATGAGGACTATCACGGAGACAGCTGGACAATTCTATTCCTTTTCGTTGTTTTATGTGGGTCGACAGATGGCACCGGTTTCAACACACTTCTGTGACATCCTCACCCGAAGACTGAGGGAATCAGTTATCTTATTCAGATGGCTCCATTAGCACAAAAAATCTAGGGGCTTTTTTAATTACTTCGCATGCCAAGTGTTTGAACTTCCCAGATTTGACTTCTCCTTTGGGGTTGGTCGGAGTAGAGAAAACATTTGCTCAATGACACGAAATAATACTTGATCATAGTAGCAGAAGCAAATATTGACGAGATTTGGCTCTTTAGGTGATGCCACGTAAGCCAGATCAGATCATAAACGGCCAGATGGTGCATACTATCCGGACTAGGTCGGGTCGAAAAGTACTTCATCCTCGGAACACCGTCTATGGCGCTTGCAAAACGTCATGACGCTAGTTCCTGTATGATTCTTTTAATATTGTTTGCGTTTTGAGCCTATTGAGGATATTCGGAACTTCAGCAGAAAATTTTGAACTATAGACATAGGAAATGATTTCTGTTACTACTGAATAGTGTTACACCTGTTCTCTCAACACGGGATTACTGCGTGATGCTTGATGCCATGAATAAGCTTTTTTGAAACGAATAGCCTCACGGGATATTTCTGCTCTAAAATCTAACGGATCAAACATTTGACAGCAAGGCGGCATGGTGTCATGGGCGGTCGTATTCTCCATGCGGCTATTCTCACTAGAGAACGACCCAGTGAAAATGTAGGGGAGGGGTGAGGATAGATTGTCTGTGCTCAGACGCTGCTATTAAGCACCACGATCGGTCAATTGACTGCGTCATTTGGATTCTCAACCGCAACCAATCCTGTTTGTTTAGATACTTTATGCACTTTTTTCTTATGCATTACGTGCTCTCGTGAAAACTATTATGCTTGCGTTTGCCACTGCTGCTCATCATCATCATGAAGTCTTAGCTTATTGTTTAGTCAGCTGCGAACGAATTGGCATACGCTAACCATTTAGAGATGAATGGTTAAGCCAAAAGAGGTGGCCTCATATTGATTGACTATGAATGGCAATGAAGAAAAATTTGCTTGGAAGATCTTGCATGCGTTTCAATACTCCCATTTCTTTCTCTCCTATCTTCTTCACTTCCGATTAATGGAATATTTTTTTGCACATACAATTTTCCTGTATAGCTGTCATTTTGCCAAATGTTATCTTACATATTTTCAGGTTGCAAAATCAAAGCTCTCAGAGCTAAGACTAATACATATATAAAAACACCGGTACGAGGAGAAGAGCCTGTATTCGTAGTAACTGGGAAGCCAGAAGACGTGATGGAAGCAAAAAGAGAAATCGAATGTGCTGCAGAACACTTCACTCAGATCAGAGCCAGTCGACGTCACTCTCAGGGTTAGCATTTCGTGTTTGAATTGAGAATTATTATTGTTGTTATAGGAGGAGCTCCTGCTCCGGGGCATGTCACCGCCTATGTTCGTGTGCCACTTCGGGTTGTTGGTTTGGTTGTTGGTCCTAAGGGGGCTACGATTAAGCGAATTCAACAAGACACTCACACCTACATCATTACACCTAGCAGAGAAAGAGAACCAATTTTTGAAGTCACGGGCTTACCTCAAAATGTAGAAGCTGCCAGGAAAGAAATCGAGCAGCATATTTACCAGAGAACTGGAAATATGCCTATTACTGATCCGTCTGCGCCAATCAGCCAATACACCACTGAATTCAACGTGAGTCTTTTTAATATTCATCTTTCTCACAGTGTTCAAAACTATTTTTGTATATAACTATTTGATTTGAAGATCTCACTGCAAAAGCACACAACGATTGCATTCTTTTTCTTTCCTGAATGATTCGATTTCAATTATTCTATTTAAGAGTTCTGGTTCTTTATCAACTGCTGCTAACGCCACAACTCGTTCCTCATATGGGAGCTTAGCAACCGCACCTCCTGCTCCTGGAAATGCTCCACGTAGACCTAATACATTTGAAGGCTTTGGAGAATTCCAACAACGTCCATCGCCATTGACCGAGTCATATCAATTTAATGGATTGAGCAATATTGTAAGTTGCTCTTGATATAATATAGTTACACGAATAGTGTTCAGATGCGTGGAGGATATCCTAACTCTAAAGTGTATTCATGCAGCTCACCAACACCATCTTTGTTCAACCAATGGTCTCAAAATAGTAATAACATGCCATTCCAACCTTGGTCAACAAACACCTATTCCGGATTGGGTATCAGCGAGCAAAACCAAGGTAAGTGTCTACTAGGGTACAGTATAATAAGCTTTAACTTCTCAGATATGTTCTACGATCGCTCGAATATTTTAAATGGTGCTTCTGCATGGTCATCTGCCTTCAGTTCTGTCTCCTGCAGTCTGAATGAACATAGAGATGAAGGTTTAGGAGATTCTCCTGCCAGCGGGTACGTATTAAATGATGTTTTGTTCAATTCTCCTCGGAAGCAAAATTAATTATGATTTTGGCTTTTCATTTTCTGGTTCTAATGATCATTTATTGCAGCAATGAAAATCCGTATCGCCTGATGTCATCTATTTGGGCTGATATAGAACCTCGCGACGAAAACAAGCAGGTGGTTCCTGCGGTTCTCACTGCATAAAGTCTTGAATGAGACGGATGAGTGAGCACTCATCATCTCAGAGGGTACGACGATTATATATCTACGCATCCTGTATATTGTGTTGTGTCGTGTAGTTGCCGGGCGCATACTTCACATCTATCTATCCCAAATTAGTTATCAATACCAGATATTTATGCTTGCTCTGTCGTGATTGTCCTGGTTTTGCTGACGTGTATTATTGAGGGTCACAGTAGTAGTATTACCCATTTTATTAGTATGTACGAGTAGTGGCGCTAGTCTCGTAGCTCTGTTTTTTAGGGGAACGACTACGCCCGCAACTTTTTTTTCCATTTTTTCAATCTCCTTCGACGATCACCTCATTTTCTCCGCATACTTCTCAACGCGTCTTCTATGTTTTCACTTTTCTCCTTATTCACCCTAACTAATTTCCTGACCTCAGAAAAACTTGCATTTTATAAAGATAGATTAATTTTTGAGATGAATTAACCAGAGCTGTATTTAGATTTGAGTGTTTTATGCAGACGAGTTTTCTGTGCTATCATTCCATTGTCTAAGAGTTTTTAGAATTGAGAGCATATTTGGTGGGCGGCTTCCTTTGCTTTTGTGCATTTTCTTAAGAGAGCATCCTATTAGAAGCATACTTTGAATAGTTTTGTTTCAGTGTCCTGGCTTTTTTTTTCTAATTAATATTGTTTGTTTTTTCTTAATCAATCGGGACACTGTTACTCTATTCCTAGTAAGCTTTGACAAACTCTCAATGTTGGTTTTCCCCCTTCAGGACCCCTTTATACTTCCCGTAGCTACCCACCACAAACGAAATACCTCCTCGGCGCTTTTATGGTGCATTTAAATTTTTATCCTTTACTGCCCGCTGAATATTAACTCACATATATATACTTCTATAAACATTTCTATCGATAATTAAATATAAATATATACTTCTATATATTTATATATAAATATATATGCATATGTAAGATTCTCTGGATATTGCTTTATGAGATATTCTATTTATCAACGTGATCTAATATCCATAGTTTCTACAATTTAACATATTAATTCCGCATATTTTGTATATTTATTTTTTTTAATTTTCACATATTATCCGACTTACTTATATATTATATCATAAATTTCTGAAGTAACCTTTCAATGATCTTCCATATAAATAGAAATTCTATATAAATATATATAGACAGAGAGAGAGAGAGAGAGGCGAACAGTTCACTCCACATCTCATGTATGGCTGCCTCTAAGACGTGTAACATTGTTAGAGTGGTATATAAACATTGTGTTTTTCCGTTTTCATTCATTTGTATGTATATGTAAACTTTCTTTTTGTACTTTGTTTGTTGTTGTCAGTTTATGATGGCGAGATCATTATGATACTGTATTTTTTTGATTTTCTTTTACTGTTGCACATAATTGGTCAGCGCTTTGCTTGTGGCTCTTTGTGGTGTTGTGTTGTGTGGACTTTTGATATTGCGCTATGTTTTCATTCTTCCCGTCTCATGTTCCCGAGAAGTTTCACGGGATGGTACAAAGAGATATAATGTAGTGGGGCAGGATGAGAATAATTAGCTGTGTTGTCGTGCATTCTATTCAGTTGAAAGCAACTAAGGCCTAATACAATCTTTTTTAGGTTGCTGCTCATGTTGCTCTCCTATGTATACACAAATAATGAATCTTTATCGGGGAATGGTGGAAAGCGCCTTGTCATAATTTTATTTTACCGATTTCTATTGATAGTTTATCAATTAGCTAAATTATATCCATATATCTATATATATTTATATTTCTATATCCTTCATTCCGCGACCAGATAGAACTGAACTCTACTTCGCAATTCTTGTTGCCGTCCTATACTCTCCGTTGCGCGTGTACGTTCGAGCAGCGACAGATTAATATGCTAAGAGATCCTCTGTGATTGTTGAAAAGCATTCCTACTGCTTAGGCTACGATTCTATTAACCTAATGCAGCGTGCAGAATAGTTTAAAATGAGAAGCTCCATTATTTGCCTCTGAGGACGGAAAATGTTAATTATATTAAGATTATTTTAAAATTATGGAATTACGGTCAAAATGGAATCGGCTTTCTTGCAGCAGTTCCTGGATATCCTGCCCATTCGTTTTGTTGGAATTCCAGTTCAGCTGTAAGACAAAGTCGCTTATTAACATCTTCCATCTCTTTGTTTTCTGTTATTTCTGTTGTTATGAGCCTGGGGTTGCTTTTGAGTTTTTTTTTCAACTTTTATAGCTTCTCGTTTACTTTTATGGATATATTTCATCCCTAGCGATTAGCTGATGTTTGAAAATCAGATGGCATCATATGACCATATGCAGAAGCTCGCTTAATTATTTTGCCTGCTTTACATACGCTGTTGCCATAGAACCACTTGAAGCTAATTGTTCCAACTTATTTTCATCTTCCTCGTTCTTCCTCCTCCTCCCACCTCTTCCGACCATGCTTCTGTTCTTCTAGCGCTTACACATCTTTCCCAACTCCTGCCACTATGTATCATCCAACTGTCCGCTATTATCGTTTCTTGATAAGCACTAAGTTGAATTACGCGTAACATTTATTCCTTCTACATAGGGCCAATAACTGCAGATGATGCAGAGATACTTAGGATTATATTTGCTTTTTTATTTTATTCTTACAAGTACTCATTACGGCTTCTGCATCTTATGGTATATCGTCTTCTGCTCGTACATCTAACTACCTCGTGATCTCACTGTACTAGCTTGTACTGTGAAAGATCTATTATCGCAGTCTCAACTGCGAGCATCTTTTGCGAAAGAGCAAAATCAGATTTTTGTTTGTTGAATTATTCCGGACAGAATTAATTTGAATATTATTGTGACCATATTGGTAGAACTGCCTCTGTGCAACATTTTTCTTCCTCTTACTCTCCTCTGTTCTATTCTTACCACTCCGATTTCTTCTTTGTTTCGCTCGCTTTCCAATGCAATATGAAATGCTAGAGATGGGATACAGATGTCAATCATCTAGATTAATGTCAATTTCTCATTCCATCCATTTCTTAAATGGACAAAGAGTATTAGTTACCTCTTTAATGTCAAGCCCATTCGAAAAATGTCCTCAAACAACTGCCAGCAGTCACAATAAGAAACTCATTCACAGTTTGCCTACCAATTATTCTAAGACATGTATCAGCCAGACTTAATTCATAAATCTATTATATCTTTTATTGTAGAGTCCTTTTTACAGTTCTAATGTTTGTTGTTATTAAAAATAAAACCTTTGGTTTCTTTAATTATTTTTATTGGCAAAGAGCTAGCACAGGAGGTATCTCAAGTAGTTCAGGACCCATAATGAGTGAAACACAGTTACAGTCTTCGATGATCAGCACCCACAGCGTCAGCGATGTTTTTGAAACCATCTTTTTTCAGACATTCCACCAACTCACGCTTCACCTTAACTCAAATTGTTCTTGGATTTCAGACGAAAAAAGCATACCTTGCCGATTACTGGGAACCCTTGATAGACTAGGGCGGAATAGAGTTGCACGAGTGAAGCACCAGCTCTGATCTTGTCATAAGCATCTTGTCCCGAAGCTATTCCACCACATCCCACAATAGGTATTTTACCGTTGGTGAGTCTGTTACACAGATGTTATCGAACTTGGTATTAACGAAAAATACTTACTGGTACATTTGTCGGACACATTCGGTACTTATTTCTTTCACAGGTTTACCACTCAAGCCCCCAGTCTGTTCTTTGTTATCACTTTGAAGATGTCCAGGACGAGATGTAGTGGTGTTTGAAACGATTAGCCCATCAATACCATATTTGGTATCGAGAGCAACTTGAGCTATATCTTTCATTTCAGAATGAATGAGATCGGGAGCTATTTTGAGTAAAACTTTCGGAGGCTTCTCCAATTGCATGATATCAACAGCTTTCTTTACATATAACATCAACTGAAGCTTTGAGGTCTGAGAGAGGAGAGATAGGAGTCAAACCTTTTGTAAATCAGCTTTGTTCTGCATGGATCGTAGGCCAGGGGTATTCGGGGAGGAAATGTTCACAACCAAGTAGTCAGCATAAGGGGCGAAATAGTTAACTCCGACTTCATAATCTAGTCTATAAGTGATAAATCTGATCCAAGATGAGGAAATACACACGATTTCCTACTTGGCATCTTCGGTCATCTTATTTTTACCCAAGTTTACACCGAAGATTGCGAACCCGTCTTTCCAATTTTCTCGAGCATTCTAGATGATCACTTAGTGAACTATATTCAATTTCTCAGATACCTTGACACGTTGCTGAACCTTCCCTACACCATCACTGTTGAAACCATATCGGTTGATAACTCCTTCGTCTTCTAACAATCGAAACACACGAGGCCTTGGGTTTCCAGGCTGTGGAATCGGAGTAACAGAACCTTTGAGTTTTGATTAGCAAGAACATAAATCATATCATGACATACCAACTTCGACTAAGCCTAATCCTGATTGGGAGGACAGAGGTACAATGGCTTCTCCGTCTTTGTCGAAACCAGCAGCTATTCCCAAAGGGTTTTTGAACTTGAAGCCCAGTACTTCCGTTTCCAACTCTGGATATTCACGTTTGTTCCATCCAAATTTAGGCAGAAGACCCAAAGAGCAAGCTTTCACAGCGAGTCTATGAGACTGTTCTCCATCTACATATTTATGAACTGCAGGCATTACCTGGAATAAAACGAATGCTTATGAGTTATTCAATAGAGAGCATTACGGCTTTGCTATAGAAGTTCTCTGAGCCCCACATCAACTCGGCAGTTCCATAACTGAGAAGTCCACCGGACACTATATAGATAGTTGATCTTGTGATATATCCAACTGGGAGTTTTTCAAACATTCTGCTTGTAACTTATTAAGGAAATCAGTGAACTAGAAAGATGTTAACATGTATCTCCTGCTTCAAAGATACCTGAGATTTCTTGAATTCGTAAACTTCGGTTATATTATGATTAAAATGCAAAACCAAGCGAACGATAGGCTGAGCGAACTCTGCACTTACACTGGTACCACAACAGGCCTGAAAAGAAGAAGAAGCATAACTTTAGGATTCAAAAAAATTACTTTGACAGTCCAATCAAAGGAAACTAATGCTCTATCAGATAAACGCGCGTCAGTATCTGATTGTAACATAAACTTCTGAATAATGAATATATTTGGTAAGCGGAAAACAATATTGATTAATCAGAAGCATCAGTCTGTTGGCAGAGGAAAGAAAAAAACAAAACGTGCGTGTATGGATGACAGTTTCTTCAAAATATTTTTTTTGATGTTTGAATGCAACCGCTCTGCGCGAAAATCAATTAGTAAATGAGTCTCCTAGCGTGAGCTCAACTAATATGCAAAGTACTTGAAAATTGTACTGTAATATATGATAAATAAGCTCAATTGATAATATAGAAGACGCTGTACAAGTTTTTTGAACATGCACGCTGTTTAACAGCTGGGCCTTCTCAATGTTTTTGTTCATGAGAGCCATTGTTTAGAATTATAAAATGTTTTTGTATTTTTCATATTTGAAGAATAGTTAGTTGGAATTGCATAACGATGATAAAGAGGAATGTCCAGCAGTCAAGAATCAGATAGCCTGCTCAATGTATCGGGTCAGGAAGATAGGGAACCTTCAGCAAACGGTCGCAATGCTCGACAGAATAGGTCTACAAGACGGAATCTGATCAGTTTTTGGTTAGTGAACAAATCATTCTCAGCGTTATGTTGGTTTGAAGGATTCTGGGTCTTTGCAACAATTTCGCTTACGTTATAATGTTGAGCGCAGCTAAGGATATTCTGGAGAAAGAGCATGATGGACATCCTGCAAACTCCACGAGTACTTGTCGGGTACCGTAATCTATTAGTACTAACAACTAGAAATCTCTATTTTTAAGGAAAAGATAGATGATAGACATTGCCAACACTTATCCACAGGGTCTGTCCTACTTGCTGACATTCTTCCTTCTTTAATAGTAAAAATCACGGCGCCACTCTTCATTCATCACATCCCCTTCGGGTAGTGCTGTATAACGATCTTACCCTTATCTGAAAGTTCAGGACTCGACATTTGTTAACGGTCTTACTTCAAGCATCAAGCTTCCTACTTGTGGCTTGCAGTGACAATGTAGCAGAAGCTCTAACAGGTATCAGTTTCTGGATTCCATACTTTAATTTTTCTCTTATAGGAGTTGTTTTTGCAAGCCTTGGTTCGGGGCTCGGAGAAATTTCTTATCTCGCTCTAGCTGCACATTATCCGGGGTATAAAACTTGTTTCTTTAATAGTTATTACTTCTATATTGTAGAGATGTCGTCGGAGCTTGGTCTTCAGGCACAGGTGGCTCCGGTATTTTTGGAGCGCTTGTGTACGCCACTTTAACAGATTCTAGCACTTTCAACCTAACCCCTAGGTCAACACTAATGTCTATGCTGATCATTCCTATGATATTTTGCTACACGTAAGATTGTTTTTTTCATTTGGACATAACAACAGAGTTGTAGCTACTGGTTCCTACTTCGAATACCTAGGTCACTTCATAGAGTGAATATCAGGGATTTCCGGACATATCTAGTTTCACATTCTGTCGAAGGTAATCCCCATATCAACATCACGTTTTTGATAATTTTTCTAGAAGTAGAAGCGTCTGACACGGGCGAGAACGGTGTTCTGCAAGATTTGTCGATCAACCGTGAGTTGGTTCCATTTGGTTTTTTGTGAGTTGAGGCTTTCAGGAACAAGAAATAGGAGAAGAGATCCCAGAGTTGTGAAATCTCTCTTGAAGTACATAATTCCTTTAGTACTCGTGTATTTCGGTGAATATTTCATAAACCAAGGGCTGGTAGTGTTATGAGAATGAAAATATGTTTTGAATACTTTTTTTGCAGGTAGAGCTACTAGAATTTAATTGTTCTTACGGCTTTGCTATGGATGCTGGAAGTCAATACAGATGGTATCAAGTGCTATACCAGCTCGGAGTTTTCATTTCGCGTTCTTCGTCAACAGTTTTGACGATTCCTACCGCCTACTTCCCACTACTGGCTGGTCTCCAGGTGAGAACCCTCTTGCGGTATTTTCAATTTTCGTTGTTTTTTAGTTGTTCAATGCCGTCTTCTTCTATCTCGAGGCTGTCTATTATTTCGTTCCTCACATCTCTATAATTTTTGCAATCATAGTCTATGAGGGATTGCTTGGTGGTTCAGCCTATGTAAATACTTTCAATTCCATACATAGAGAGGTGAGTATAGTTGAGAGATTTATCATGAATTGATGTTATGTCCAGATTCCCACTGAGTTGAAGGAGTACAGTATGGGTGTAGTCTCTGTTTCTGACTCGGTTGGAATAGTTTTTGCTGGTTTTCTGGCAATCCCAATTCATAACTACATTTGCTCACTTCCTTTACACTTGTGATCCAAACTGTGATATTTTTAGCAGAATTTTATTCAGATGATTATAATGAAGCAAGAACGATCTGTAGATCGTTTATACAGTTATACACAGGCAAAGTAGAAAGAAAACTCGTTAACATATCACCAACGATCAAAGGGATTCAGGTGACTGATTTTAGTATGAAGTAGCATGGTGTGTTTATTATGAAAGTCATTACAAAGTCACTTAAATCCCAAGAACAAGTCGAAATTGAAACCATCACACGAATTTACAAGCGAACTTGCTCGCCTCGTCAAGCGCGTCTTTGGGCAACTTACTGCGCTTTATCAACAAATTTTCCATGGTTTGTAGCATTTGGAACAATGTTTTAGCATTTTCCTAGAATACGAATGTTCTGTCATTACTTATAGATGATCTCACCTCAGTCACCATCTCGTTGAACGGCTCTAATTCGCCATCGTGATACATACCACCATTTTCAAGACTTTCAGAGGGAGCTGTGCTTGCCATTACCAGAGATTGGGTTCCCTGAAAGCCATGTAAGCTCAATTTATTTGAGTAGTTCTCAACTCACATCTTGTAGGCTTTTAGAGAAGAGCCAAATTAACGGAGCTGCTGCTTTACGTAATACCCAATGGGTTTCACGACCTAGTTCAGTACCTGAAAACCATCTTAGAAACTGTTTCGATCAATGTCTGATCATACCACGCACGAAACCAGGTCTGATACAAACCACTTTCACATTGCTTTTAGTACGCTTCAATATCCTATAACACACCAAGGTTACTTGAATAACATCTTCGGAAAAAAAAACCTCGCCATCTCTGACGTGTAGAGATTAATTGCTAGTTTACTGAAAGCATACGCAAATCTTCCGTCGTAATCCCAATTATCTTCTCCCATTAGTTGTTTTGTCAACGGCATATGGGTAGCCTTTAAGACTTTATGATAACTTGAAGAAGAATTCAAAACCAACTCCTTTGTATAGCCCGGAAGATACTAGTAAGATGCGTCCACTGGTCCTTTCTAAGTGGTCGAATAAATTATTAATGATGACATAATGCCCAAACAGGTTAGTTGCCATATGACTCTCAATTCCATCCGATGATAACTAAGCTTTTCCAATTTTTTAATCATTAAGATAGGGACATACTTCGAATGCCTTTCCCATTATTCCAGCGTTACAGATAAGCACATCAATGACCTCAAAAGTCTCACGAACCTCACGACAAAACTCCAGGATACTGTTGTAACACATGAGATCCAACTGTAAGATGGTTAAAGGAGCAATACGTGGTGTAACCTTACTGAAAGCATGTGTACTTCTCCCGTACATTCGGCCATGGACTGCAATGCTTCAACGGCAGCACGTCCACGAACTTCATCACGGCAAGTAACGATGATTGTAGCACCTAATTGACGTAGGTCTTTGGCCGTTTGTAAACCTGAATTCTAGGATTAAAGGTCTACAAGCCTTTTTGCATATTAAGAAAGGCTGAAAATTCATTATCAATGACGCAGAGCGCGCGGAACGGTTGCTTGTAGAAATACTGTTGAGTTAAGACAGTTTCTTTTTTATTTTCATCGAAATCTCCACCTAACTAACCAATGCCTGATGTTGATCCTGTGATGATTACAACTTTCCCCTCCATTGATGAACCTGCACTTTCCATCTAAATTTTTATTTTTTCATGAGCTTATCAGGCGATATTGAATATGCGATATGTGAAATGTTCAGAAACATCAATCAAATTAGAAAAACGTTGAAATATACATTTAACATAAGTTCTCTAGTTCAAGTACATAATAAAACCCGTGTCGAACATTCAATTCGAGTTGACTAGGAGCTACCGGTCAAGGTTTCCCGCGCAAATACCATATATATCCAAGCAATACATTTCTCAGAAAAAAGTGAGTTATCAATTCCTATCTAGATTCTATTTCAATCTAATCCTCAAAGATTGACTGGCGAGCTAATCTTCGAGCTTCTTCTCTCCTGGCTTTGATTCTTCTTGTGTGATCAGAATCATGTACGGCTTTGAGCCATCTAAAAGTAAAAAAAATTTAACTAATCGAAGCATTTCACAAATTACACATACCTGTACTCTTCTCTTATTTCATCACGGTTACGATCTACTAGTTCTTCAGATTTTCTTCTCCATGCTTCATCAACATCTGCTTTTAATACACGTCCAAGCTCCGCGATTTCTTCATTATCTCTCAATTGTCCACGGAACTCAGATTGACGAAGGAAAGACTTAGCAATCTCAGTGTGATCTTCCAGTTGGGCTATTTGTCGTTCGCGGTATTTAATTTGCGCTCTGAGTTCATCCTTATTTTTGTTATCAAATTTTACTTACACATAGCCAATGTTGTATAAAGTCACAATCGCTGCGCCTAGCAAACTCCATTTCAATATAGTTTTCCATTGTTTCTCAACTTTCTCTTGGAATCCAGAATCTTTCATGGACTCGGAATGGAAAGGACTTCTGCAAAACATTTCCTAACGTCTCTTATTGGACGAACAAATACCTGCGCGAATGATCATATGCTCCATAGCTATAGGGGTTGTACATGTTCTCATACGTTTTACGGTCCTGATTATCATACACTCTTCTGCATGAATAGTTCGCTCTATTATGCTTCACGTAACAAGGCTAACCTATCTGCTGGCCTGCGCAGAACATCATATGCTTTCTTCAGCTCCACAAAATCTGCTGAAGAACTCTGATCTCCAGTGTTATCGGGATGCAACTAAGAAACTGTTAGTCAACTACATGACAGTTCATCTCACAATTTTAGATTTTTTGTAAAAAGCTTTCTTTATTTCAGCTAGCGATGCGTTTCTTGAAACACCCAGTATCTGATAATAATCCTTCGACGGGGTAGTTGATGAAGAATTCCTATAGTAACTATATGGTTTATGTTCAAATTATGTTTAACCTTATATGTAATCCCATATTTTTGCTAGCCATGACTTTAGTGGGGTTAGAGTACAGTTTCATCAATAGCATAGCTTCATTTGGGTAATATCAGATGAACATAACAAAAAACATTGTCTGACAATGAGGACGAATATTAAACCCCGCCCCTGTAAATAACGTGCAAAATCATACTAATCATAAGTTATTTGTGAAAGTTTGAGCGATTTTCAACAATATTTCTCTCTCAAATTCATAAACAAGCTGCATTATTGAGTGTAAAATCGAATTTCCATATGTAATGATGAAAGGGATCAATTTGATTCATTTTAATCAGAGTTCCAGCATGGAACGACCGGGTCATTTTTTTTTTCAAGTAAAAATTTTTTTCACGTGGCGTGTTTCCGCGGGGTTATATAAGCCGTGGAGCGTCTGAATCACGTCAGTTGGCAGCGTGAGCCGGTGAGCACCACTCCTCTCTCTCTGGAGGCTCTTCAGAGGAAAGAAAAAGCTCATCGGCTCAAAAGCCAGGGGTGAGACCTGAAAAAGTACAGGTCTTATCTGAAAAGCAGCGAAAGGTTGCATTGTACCCAAAGCCGTACAGAGTGGTTGTATTCCGTCCCAAACCGTCCATAACGGTTGCATCCCACTCTCAAACCGTTCAAGTAGGTTGCATTCGCAAAAGCTGAGTTCAGAAGCAATGTACAACAGAAAAGGTCAAACAAAAAGAAATAAATTATGGCTAATTGAATATCGGAAACTGAGCATGTAAGGTTTAACTAGAACGAGAAAAAAAATTTCTTATCGTGTTCTAGTATTAAGCAATAGATCAACAAAGATACACAGGTGTTAGACAAGAATTCATTCGAGAGCAATGTTTCATTTCGAGTTATTGAAATTATGACCTGGAGAAACCAAATAATGTCGTTGAAACAGCGAGAGAAATACGATTGTTCCCCTTCCCCTATATTCCGAGAAAAAACTTTCCTTGAAGCTCAAATTTACACAAATATACAGTCTCAAGATTTGTAAGTTGGGTATTCACGTCTGCGTATCTCTTGCATGGAGGCGGGGCTATAGAAAATTCGAGATAGTGCTGAGCACTCTAAGATAGTTAAGAAATCCAGCTTTTTACTTGATATCTCCATTTTTTCAGTTTTCAAGCATCGGCTCTGTTATCTTTGATGACCTCTGTTCCTGTTTCAAATACTGAAGGGGAGGACGGTTTGATTCAATGTTACAACAAGGGATGTGGTCAGAAGTTTGACCCATTCGGCAACGGCGAAGGTGTGTTACACTCTCTAAAACATGTATGTTTGTGGGCGCTTACAGGTAGTTGCAGATACCACCCCGGACCCCCCTACTTCCACGATGCTTATAAAATCTGGAACTGCTGTAACAAGAAAAGTACTGACTTCGGTACTTGGATGGCATATCCTGGATGCACCCAAGGCAAACATAATGCAGAAAAACCAACTGATATAGTCAAGGTAGCCGCAGTAAAAGAAATAAGACCAGAGAAAGTTTGTTATACTCGTTTTTTCTGATGTTTGATGATGTATTAAGGAAGAAGATGTTATAGTTTGGAAAGGATTGAATAAGCCGGCGGAGCGTATTGCTGAGCATGAGAGAGTAGAGAAACAGTTAGAAGTAAGTAAAAAGATGAAGGCAATGGGTTCGAAGTCTCATTTCAGGTAGAAGTTTCGGCTAGTGCAGTTCAGGCATTGCAAAGATACAAAGAACAGAATGCTAGTACTCTAGGTAGTCAAGTTTTAAAAGTAGGAGCACCTTGTAGACATATGTCCTGCACGCAGGTTTGTTGCTTTTTCAAGACTAGCTATTATTCAATCAACTTAAGAAGTACTCGGGTAACGATTCTGATCTCAACCAGTGCGTGTACCATCCAGGAGAAGCTATTTTCCATGAAGGCATGAAGTACTGGTCTTGTTGCCAGAAGAAAACTTCTAACTTTGGTGCTTTCCTGGAACAGAAGGGTTGTGAAACAGGTGAACATGTCTGGAGTATGGTGAGAGCTGATAACTCTTTGGTTGCTTATTTATACTTATTAGGAAGAGAAGGTAGAGAAAATAAAAGAAGATTGGTTCTCAAGTGCAGGTGTTGTCACAGTGAACATTTATTCGAAGGTTTGACATATGATATGAGCTCAATTGTGGATTTTGTTGTCAGGGTACAATACCTGAGGAGTCTAGCATTAGTTCCGATGGGCAAGTGCTGCGTGTTCACTTGAAACATGGCTTTGGTCTGAAAGAAACTGACTTACTTTATGAGCTGTGGGGTAGAGTTAACGTTGAGAACAGCAAAGCCATTATTGGGGAGCGGAAGGTCATTTGTAATCGAAGTTAAGTCTGAAGATTTGTGTTATAGGTAGAAATAAAGCTCAAGCAAGAAGGTGTAGCTGGATGGCCACGTCTGCGCTATGATCCAGCCATTGATTCTGTGAATACAGCAGCTTAACATGTTATCGAGTCATTGATTGTTTTGTAATTAATGTTCAGGTTGTCTGCTGAGTAACTGCTCATCAGATTGTTGTTTGTGTGATTTCATAACCTTTCAAATAAGCACATCGCTAATGATAATAATGAATTTTTTTGAAATATATATTGTTTTGATAAGTTACAAACAATTTTCTCCGCCTTCTCATGTTTTCTCGAACAAGCGAGACAGTGTGAGGAGAAGAGAGAGTATGTCTCTGTCTTATACCTATAAATTGATCGACGCGCCGGGCCGCAGTGCTATGCCTCGTCGGCGTAAACTCTTCTCGCTCATTCCATTTTCATTTTATTGAATTTCATTCTACTGTTTGTGTTGATGCTGTTTTACAGGAGTGTTTTTCTTTTTGTTTTTTTAAATATTATTCTATAATCACGTGCTATCAGTTGTTTTCTCTTGCTATGTAGAAGCTCTGATATTACTTGCAGCCTAGTGATAGAATATATCCATCGGTTCTTATCAGTCGTCATCCTTAGCATTGATTGAATATGCCCTTCACTTTCTTGACAATTGAATGATTATTCTTTTGGCTGCATGGAGCAATGCTTAACTCTTGTTGTTTTCTTTTCGTATTTTTTTTTTCAAATTTTCATTCATACACATTTTCAGAAAATGAATCGTGAACCACAACGCGAACCAACTTTCTTCGATAACGTGAATAGAGCCTTTACTGGTTTGAACCATGACATGTAAGTTAGGCAGTTCATATTACAAACAAATGATCTTTTTTTCAGTAGTAAAGATACTCAAGAACATTTGCGCAATGTATACGCCACTGTTGGAGCTGGAATCTTCAGCAGTGCTCTTGGTGTAGCTTTCTATTTCCTCACAGGATTCACGTAGGCATACTTAGCTCGATTTTTATATTCTTTGTTCTACAGACAAGGCCTTTTCTTCTCTCTTGCGAGTTTCTATTTGATTTATAAAGTTTATACCACTGGACCTGAGACTGATGCCAACAGAATGGCCATGTTCTTGGCTTTCTGCGGAATTAACGGTATGTCTAAAATTTTATAGCTTGAAATAACGTAGGTGAACAGGAATTGGACTGGGACCACTTATTCACGTCACTCTTGAAATTGATGGTTCTATTCTTCTAACATCTATCTTGGCATCAGCAGCTATTTTCGGTTGCTTCACCATGGCTGCTTTGAAAGCTACCAGTACTAAGTATCTCCATCTTGGAGGTTAGTATTGAATGAAATGAAAAAGAAAACAGTGAAGTATAAATTGATACAGGAACTTTATCGTCCGCCCTTCTCTTCCTTCTCTTCGGTTCTTTCTTCCTGTCTCACTCCGTTTTACTCTGGGGAGGTTGTTCAATTTATTTTTATTGTCATAAAACGTTACTTCATCAGGTCTGGCTGTTGCATGCGGATTCATACTGTATGACACTCAAATGATTGTTGAGAAGAATCGTCGTGGAGACAATGACTATCTTCGTCACGCTTTAGAGCTCTTCATTGACTTCGCCAATGTCTTCAGGTAGACTGATCTATCCAGTTCAAACGATTTTTGATAACACTTCTTAAGGCACATCCTTATTCTTCTCGCTCAGAAGAAAGACAACGAGCGCAGAAACAAGAGAAAGGATTAGGCTCCTGAATCTTCTTCAGTCGCTATGATTTTTCCTTTTTGATCTAATTTCACTAATATTCCGTGGAAAATTTATTTATTGCCCACATTGTACAGATGCTTAAAAATAAATAAAGGGAATCACAATCAACAATCTCTTATGATCCAACTTTTTGAACGATGTTATAACCAAGTTCAGATTCTCAGGTCGGCAAGGTATTGTGTGCCCCATTTCATCGCCAGGAACATTTGGTGAGTATTGAACTCAGAAAAGTTTTCTACTGATTCAATGAGAACTTTCATTAAAAGAGATTACATAGTTTAAATTGTGAAGAATAAGATGATTTTCTACCTTTTTTATCTATTCTAACTTCATCTTTTCTGCAGTTGGACTCGTGTGTTTGAAATATATTCTGAGCCGTCTAATAAGTATCACTCCAAAATGCGTTTTGGAGGTGGAATACAACCATTCTGGACGGTTAAGGTTGGAATGCAACCGCTCTGAACGGCTTTGGGTGGAATGCAACCGCTCTGGACGGTTCTGGTTGGAATGCAACCGCTCTGAACGGCTTTGGGTGGAATGCAACCTTTCGGTGCGTTTCA